TTGGGCCCGAAACGGACAGTGTCCGGGCTTGGAGCCCCCGGGAAAGTCAAGAGGGCGTGGATTCCGGGTTCGTCCTGTGAAGGCGGATGCCAGCCATAGTTGAAGGATCCAAGCGTGGGGAGGCTCGGGCGCGGCCCTTGCCCGTCGAAGTAGGTGAGCTTTAAGCTGAAGGCTGGGTCATCGTGGTCGGGTTGAGTGGGGTAGAGCGAATTTGCAAATGAACTCTGTGTGTGCCGCAGTCCGGTGATGATGTCACTCATCATCGAGTCACGATTGCGTAACGGGTATAGTCTAAAACAAACTTTAGACTATCGGTTACGGTACATATTTTGGTTTTCTACGGTAACCTCGATGACGTACGTGATCAGTAATCTTTTACCGTACAGTAAATCATTGGTGCGAGAGTTAAGAATTGCAGCTATCAATCATAAAAGGTATTTATTACCGGAACTTCAGTAATACTACCCGTAATACCTTTTCAGCCCAGAGTACGGCAAGAAAATATGGATACACATCCTACCCCTGTTCTTGTCTACTGTTGATGTTTCACGAGATAAGCCGCCACGTTGGGATTAGACTCCACCTTACTCACGAGCGTTGTGAGCTTAGGATACTTGCTCAGCGAAAACCCCGCAAAGTTACCGAGTCCATTCTTAGTCAGGTCGTAGAGCTGCAGATCTCCGTACGTCATCTTGTCGCCCAGGAAGAAGGGTCCCTTCTGGATGAATTCCTCGAGCAGCTTATATGTCTTAGGCACGCTTTCCTCCAGCAGTTTCTTTGTCTTCTCAGTCTTAGCAGCTTCGTCCGGAGTACGGTATGCAATCTCCGAGATAAGCGTCTTTACATCAACGAGCGACTCGGACACCATGTCCACGCGCAGACACTCGAGTGGGTCCTGCGGGTACAGACCCGTGAGTTTGGCAGCGTAGCGGGCGATGGGCCATACTCTGGCTATAGGTGGTACCCGTCTACCTCGAGTACTGGTACCTGGCCGAGCGGCAGAGTGGGCTTAATGGCCCAAGAAAGCGTCTCGGTCCAAGCGCTGGTCCTCGAATGCTACGTTGCCGGCTGACAAGATTAGGCGCGACAGCTCAGCGCGGCCGGGCCCAGCAAAGTACGTGAGCTTAAGCTGCGAGGGCGCCACCCATACTGCGGGTTGTGGTGCGAAGTAGTTGTGGTAGAGGGCCACCAGTACCGCGGTCACGGCAACGAGAGTAAACTGGTTCATGTCGAGTCTCTTTTTGAAGTTCCCGTCCCTGCAAAGAAACGTGACTTCACTGGCGCTCCGGATGCTGGAGGAAAGACGTTCATTCTGGCTGTTTGACTGCGGAGAAGGCACGCAGCACCAAGTGCTTCGTTCGCCGCTGCGGCTGAGCAAGCTGGAAAAGGTATTTATTACTCATTTGCACGGGGACCATTTATTCGGGCTGCCAGGGCTGCTTTCCAGCCGGGCTAACCAGGGTGGTGACACACCTCTCACGGTTTACGGTCCGAAAGGACTGAAGTCGTTTATTGATCTGACGCTGGGGATCAGCGAATCGCGGATCAACTATGAACTCACCGTAGTGGAACATGAAGGCGGAAGGCTGTTTGAGGACGATACGTTCCGCGTGGAAGCAGCGCTGCTGGAGCACCGTATCTAGTTCGCTTCCCTGGCCTCATGTCGGTGATCTTCTCGACTTCGAACTCGTCGGCCTCGAGATCCACATTCCAACTATCTTCCGGTAGGAGGACTTCGTCGAAATCCACCCGGTCGGATTCATCCACCGAAAAACGAGTTTGCGGCCGGTCCGAATATTCTTTGACCAACTTCAGCTTGGATACGTGTACTACAGGGAACAGGCGATATTCGGTACCTGCCGTTTCCAGCTTTACCGCATGTTCTCCAATCTTCTCGCTCACCCGGAACGGTCCATGCCATAGATGGGCCAATTTGCGGGCGTATCCTTCTTTCACTCGATCCAAATAAAGCCACACCTGCGATCCCACTTCGATTTGATGTGGACGGGCATCTTCGTTGTGTCGATCCGCTCGATCCTGTATCGCACTCCGCAGTCGTTCGTTCACCTGGGATCTAGCTTGCTGGTAGTATTTCTGGACTTGGTATCTCTATCGCCTTGGATCTCGGTTTCTCTTCTTGGTGCTGCATACTGGGATGGCCGCTTCCAGGGTGGATTTGGGATCCCACCCATGTACCAAGTAAAATGGGGTATCACCCCGGATCCTGTCTTGGGCGGTGTTCATCGCGAAGGGGAGCCGTTCTGCGTACTCATCCCAATCCCTCTGATCCCAAATCCTGGACGTACATCTTGAGTGCTCTCGTGATCGTCTGTACCATGCGCTCGGCCGACCCGTTAGCTTGGGGACGATATGCCATGGTTGCTCGCTGTCGCTGCCCCAGGATTCGGTTGAATGCTCGAAAGAAATCAGACATAAAGCCTGGCTCCCGATCATGTCTAATCATCTCGCTAGCTCCAAATCTTCGGAAAACGCACTCCTCGTACGATTCAGCAATGGTCTGCGCAGTTCTAGACGCACTAGCTTTGGCTACCACGTATCCGGTAAACAGGTCCATGTGGTGTTGGAAATCTCACGTGAACTCTAGCTACAGATGTAGTTAGGATGTTCCCACAACAATACGTCTACTAGGATAGTAAACGATCGTTCGGGCGGACCTGAAGGCCCCAGTTCTGCCCTTGCACCGGGACAAACTGGACCTTGTAAACTACTTATATAGGCCAACCAGTAAAAATAAGAACACGCTACTAGCACGAGCAAAGCTAGCAGGTGTTTTGAATCCTCGTGGTCCCAACAGCGGAAGGGTACCAGGCACGGGTAAGCCTTTTACGAGATCACCGAGTGTTCAACACTCGGCTGGAAGAAATAAAAGGGAGGCAATTCAAGCACTCCCAGTCGTGCAAATAGGCAACAATAAGCCGTCACGTAAAACCTCCCGATAATAATCGGCCAATACACAAAGTCTCTTGGCCTTGCCGGATGAACCCTCGCTACAGAGCTTCGAGTTCACCGACAGGCATAACACACTCAAACAAGCTTGACCTGACGCTTACCTTGAAGCCGGACGTCGCTCTGTGTGCTTGAGTGGAAATTCTGTTCTGTATTTAAGCTTACCCTTTCGGGTCTATTCCTAATAAGAAGTCCTAATCAAGTATACAAATATCAAGTGAACAATGATCCGTTATGGATCTTCTTGCATGCCAAGCGTCGTCTGCACTGTCGCATGAGCATCTTTAACGGTCCGCGCCCTGTCCCAGACGGTTAACGTGTCTTCCAAAGGTCGCTGAGTATTCCGCGAACTCATCCCAACCGCCACATGAGGGTTCGTACCGTAGATGGTCCGCTGAATGCGAAT